GGAATGGATGAGGGAATGGATGAGGGAATGGATGAGGGAATGGATGAGGGAATGGATGAAGGAATTGAAGAAGGAATGGAGGATAAAACTGCCACAACGCTAGACGAAGCTGCAAGAGTGGGAGTGACGGTTGAGACGACTGGAGCAGGCGTAGTCGAGATGGTGATGGTATAGACAGTGGTGGCCTGGCTGGTCACATACTCAGTCAAGTAGTCGGTCTCGACGGTAGTGCCCGTCTCGGTGCATGGGTTGGTGGGATAACTACTGATCGCCTGGTAGCCCGAGGCAGACACCACCGAAGCGCCCGTAGCCCACAGATACTGGCAACTGGACAAAGCCGGATAGTAGTTGACAGCATTACACATTCCGTTGAAGATGCGACAATATACTTCGCAGCCATTGATGTTGGCTTGGCGTGAATAGACATTCATAGCAGCTCTGGTAGTTGCACCACTAATCGAAGAACCGTCGCACATTTCACGATAATAATAGCCGGCCGATGACCAAGCATAGTCCGAGCACGAGTTACCGGATCCGAGAGAGGCGGTTCCCGTGGCACAGACGACGTTGGTGGTCACTACTGCGGAAGTGCTGGCGATGACACTGGTCACGACGGTGGGATAAGTCGAGGTAATGGTGGCAAGAGATTCAGCAGCAGCACTGGCAGCTGGAAGGGCGATGGTAGCTGCCAGACTGGCAGGAGCCAGGGCTGAGATGAGAAGCAGTCCGCTCTTCATGCTCTTCATGGTGAGGTGGTAATGACTGATTGTGATGATGATGATGATGATGTTCAAAGGTCAAGAATGATGAGGGCTCTGGGGGAAGCCTGGGTATCAATGATTACAACAGCATGAACGGAAAAGACTGACACTGGAGGGGAGAGAAAGAGCGAAAAATTGGTCGTTGTGAGTGAGACACAAGAAGCAGGATGATGGGTAGTAGTTATTTTAAGCAGACGGCCAGCTGGGTTTGGGTGGCGTTGGATACCATCAATCCCAGCGGCCTGGGACAGCCGCAGCAGTCGCGTACCTGAATCTCAGCTAACAAGGTTCTTTTCTGACAAGGATCGGATCAATCTGAGCCTATCGCTATTTTAACCGACAATGACGGAAAATGATTGTGGAGAACCAGTCTGGAGCTGAAGGCGAGTTGGGGAAAATTAGAGCGAGGAAACTCCCGCATTAGGGCTAGTTAAGGGGGGAAACCACTGCCGCTAATTGCCACTATTCTGATCTATTCATCTTCCAATACGAGCTATGCAACAGGCGACTTATCCAGGCTCTGTAGCTGCTTAAAATCATACCAGGCAGTGGATAGTCTGAGATTCTGAGTCGCCGGCTGATCGAAACACTGCACAGACCACTCCATCGCACTTGACATTTCACTGGACCATTCCGCGGAGATCTGGAGTGGATTCCAAACCAAGGGCAGGTCGAGCTTCGTGGTTGAAGTGGGGGATAAGAGATAACGGACGAGGGGCAGAGTCTACCCTCGGATTGAGACGCCAGACCCACCGGACGGAGACAAAAGCCTTGTGCTCATCTTCACGGGTCGACTGATGTAGACTATAAGCCTATTTGCTTTGCTCGGGACAGTACATAGAGCATGGTTCTACATAATACAAGAACGTAGGATTGTCACATTGAAAAAGAGCGAGAGATCGCTACTAAGGATGGAGGATAGAGGCACATACTGTCCGTCTTGAAATTATGGCACTGACAATAGTCAACTGAAACCCAGCCATGATCATCTTCAAGACAAATGCTGGCAGAGTTTGATGGCAAACCTACCAAGTCACTCCCTCTCATATCGTAAAATACACTTCCTCTATTAGAGGTTGTCAAAATGAAAGCAAAAGAGCGTCACGATAGACTTGGCCATACGGTATACTATGCAATACACAGCACGTTTCAAGGTATAATCGCACATAAGGACAGTTGGCCATTCTTCAAAATATGGAACAGGTCACTGACAATTCGACGTTCTTTCATCCTAGTGATCAAGACACAGAATCTTCCTCTGGAATCGGATGTCGAAGGCCCATCGGATGAGCAGACTCAGGGGCTGCAATCTCGCTCAGAGCCCCAAGCTGTTGGTCTTGGTACCCTGCATCATAGGGCGGCAAGGGTCTATCCTTTTCGCTTCCTGGTGTGGAGCTGTTCAAGCGTCCCAAATGCGTTGCTTCGACACCTTAAGCACGATAGATTCTGTCTCGTCCGTGGGTGACGGAGGACTTCACCCCATTCGATCCGGTATCGAAGCGCATCACCACTACTTGCTCCTGTGATAGGGTACGATACGTGTGCGCCAAAGGGGCTCCCAAAGCTAGAATCAAGCTTGCCGGCTGTAATCAAGCCGAGATAGAGCAGTACAAGAACAAAGACAGGAATTTGCTCTGCGCGGCTTTCGCTGCCTGGCAATCGCTCTCAAGGAAGGGGACAAAGACTGGCAGTTCTTAAGGCTATATCCAAGGGTCGATCCGCCACCCGACGACACAGCACATACAAGACGGAATTGCAGGTCGACTAATTGCTCGAGCTGTTGTTCAAGTTTGCAATTGAATAAGAGAAAGAATATTTAGTCAGAGACTCGCCGTTTCGTACTCAGGACCCGGAAGGAGGATGTGGAAGGGGACGATTGATCCTACAGAACTGAAGTGGTACATTGACTCGGAGTTTTATTTCCGCTGTTTAGAGATAGAGGATGTTCAGAGACCAATGGACTAGCATGATATGACAACTGCCTCTCTCCTGGAGTATTCTGGGGAAGCAAGGGGGGCCAGACAAGACTACCAAGCATGGATCCACCGTGGGTGGGCCTGCTGATAAGCTTACTGCAAGTGCATTCATTTGATCATTCAGGGCTTTCTCGGGTTCGCATGAGACCATAACATCCTCATTTCTCAAGTGTAGCTACACAGATGTTTCTCATACTGTGCAGTTCTGGGCTCTTCTTACCATTTCACAAGCACAAGCACCTGCCAACTGCAAATCAACCGATAACCACTGCCTTTGGGCCATGCCCTCCGCACTTGTCCACGAGGTCAAAGTCTCCGCACGCCACTAGACTAGACTTATTGAGCCAAGTTTCGAGCAGTGTCAACTTCGGCACAAATCCATGGCTCAGACAAGAACGTAGAGGGGAACAGAGGGCCGGTGAAGGGACGCTTAGGCCCAAAGTGGAGCGCGAGACGAGCCAGAGATCAATCTAATCAATCGCTATCAATCAAGCAGATAACTGCTTGACCCTGGGCTGGGGACCATTTGAACCATTTGTTGAGTGAATCCTTCACTTGCCAAGCCAGACGCTGCAGAATCACTGCTTGTCATGGCTATCACTTCCTTAGCAAACAGCATTCGAATGATCAGGTAGAAAGCCTGGTAGCATTCAAGCTTCAAAGTGCTTCAATCCATCCATCACCACCCCTTTCTACGAACCAACAACACGACCCCCTTGAACACCAAGCTCTACCATTGTGAATGGAATCCGTACGGATAGGGTCTGAAGGAGAACTTGGTTTTATGCCTTATATACTATACTACGTATGATAAATCAGATATGCCAAGGCACTAACTCCGGCTACAGACTACGGGTGGGTACATGATAATGGCAGGGAGAGAAAAAAGCAAAAAAGAGATGACAAGAGTGGGATTCGAACCCACGCCACTTGCGTGACTGCAATGCTCTTCAGATGTGATCTGGAGAAGGAGTGAATCCTTGAGTGCAGCGCCTTAGACCGCTCGGCCATCTTGCCTTGGTTGAACTAAAGGGCTGCATTTATATCCTATGTCGTCAATGCTACATCCAAATCACAATCTCGACTCCAGCTGTGATATGGCCCACCTCTAGCTTAAGACACAAATACCGACTTCGGCTTCGTTCCTTATTAGTATTCTTGATCTTTCACGATCTGCTACTACACCCGGTACTAGTGAAGTCTTATATGCGATCGGCAAGGGTCTCAAGCCCTGATGGCGGAGCGAGCGATCCAACCACATCCACTTCAAGCGAAGTGGGAGAGTATTATCGGGTAGCTGGAAATGTTGCGCAAGAAGGAGGCTCGGAGCCAGAATGCTAGGGTTCAGATGCCTCTGTAAGTGTCCGTGGGCACTACAATGGCGCATCTTTATATAGTGCTAGCATGGGGGGGGGATTGGGCTCGCATCATTGCCCTATCTTATGTGAGATGGTGCAGAGCAGTCATGGCAGTTCAATAGCATTGTACTGCCTCCAGAAATCCTTCTTCCACGCATTGACCAGCTTCGTGGCCGTAGGATTGCCAAATGGAGCCTGCTGCGTGGCAAAGAAGCCCGCGACGCCCAGCTCGCGATTTGCCCACCAGACGACATTCGTCGCGCCACCCCAAGCCAACACCCCCTTTGGCTGCCCGATTTCCGGCACTGGCCCCAGACAAAGCAAGCCTCCGAGGCCATAGTTGACTGCATCATCGGCAATTGGACCGGCGACTGTCCCCCACGCCGACCGCAACCCCAGCAGCATCTGGATCTGCACGCTATCCACCTCCGGCTCCAGCTGGGGGGTAAACATCTCCGCGACGGTCGACCGAGCCAGGAGGGTCGGCGTCTCCGACACGAGATCCGCCAGCACCGCGAGGAAATCCTTGCTCGTACCCGCCAATCCACACCCTCCCTCCTGATCTTCATCGTTGTCAAACGCCCAGCGATCCAACGACTCGAGCCGACCGTCCGCCGTCCGCTGTGTCCCCTGCATCAGTCGGGCCTGATACTCGGGGTGCCGCGCGATATTGAACCGGGGAAACGGCGAGGACAGACCCAGGGGCTTCCAGATGTGCTCGACGAAATAATCCCCCAGGGAGATGCCCTCGTGCAGACGACTGACCACCACCCCGGCCCAATCCAGACTACATCCATACAGCCAGCCCGTCCCGGGCTCGAAGACCAAGGGCATGGCATATCGCTCCGTGACCTGCAGGGAGGTGGGCTGGTTTGCCCGCGCCTCCGCCCGTAGGCCTAACAGCCGGTGGGTGAATCTGTACCCCAGTCCGGAAGTATGCGACAGGAGATGGCGAGCGGTGATGGGAGTGGTGCTGGGCGCGTAGGTGCATTGTCCGCCGACGACGTCTGTCAGAATCTCGATCGCGTCAAGCTCGGGGAGAATAGTCGTGAGGGGTTGGTCGAGAGTGATGAGGCCCTGGTCGACGCATTGGAGGAGGGCAATGCTGGTGATGAGCTTCGTCGCGCTGGCGAGTTTCAGGACGGCGTCTTCGTGGAGAGGTGGGCTGTCGGGGGCGAGGCTGGTGTGGCCGGCTACTTTGCTGTAGATTTCGGTTCCTGGTGGAACAATAGGGTTAGTTGGAGAGGGGAGGGAGGGGGGTGAGGTGGTAAAAGGTAAGGGCTGTACCGGTTCGGTCGACGCATTTGCAGATGACGCCGTGTACCTGAGGGTTGTCTTGCTTGGTGTATTTGCCCAGGAGGGCGTCGAATTCGGACATTTGTCAAGAGGTTTAAGCTGTCTTGGACGGCAATAGGAATGGTATTATCTTAGAAAGTTGAGGATCTGCTGGGATGTTGAGAGAGGCGCGAGGAGGGGTGGAGAGAGAAAGTGAGGCGGGGAAGTGGAGATCCCTGCTTACTAGCTTTGCATTGGCCACGAAACACCAGGATCAAAATTCCGGATGATGGTGATGTTTCTCTCCATGGTTGCGAATCAATCTATTCTCTTCTCTAGGAGACTACGCCTCCTGGGGAATTTATCGGCCATGTCGGGGATTCCATCGGGAGCTTTGTGTCGGGCAGCAAACTCATAACCCTAATTGCTTCAGACCACGATCCCATGCATCATGAGCACATATTCTGATCTGGAACACGCACGAGTCCTGTTTAGGAGTACGAATGCCCCCCGCGGGTGCTGGATGGGCACTCGGGCATCGCAGACTCAGCGTACATGATAGCCGTTATCAGATCGATGGTGGTGTAGGTGGTCGATGGCGAGTGTCAGCTGCATGGCCGCGGGGGGGTTACTTGATCTTGCGGTTTTGCGAGGTCCGACCTGTATACGCCACTCGATCGAGTCAAATTGTGGATAGAACTTAATGCAGTGGTGTCCTTCACGGATTTCCCCGGGGAAAGTCGGTCCTCGACAACTACATCCTAATAGAATATATTCCCGTCCCATCTTCAAGTCTTGCATTTACTCAAGCAGAGTCCCGATAGACCACAGCCAGTTCGCTCCCGCCAGCCGAGGAGGATGTCATGATAAGCATGGATCCCTCACAAAGAGAGGCGCATTGCGACGAAACCACTTCCTGGTGTTTACCATTTACCCAGCAAAGTGTGAAAGAGCATCGTGAGAATTAATCTGGGACTTACCTCATATACATATGCTGCCTTGATTTAACAACAGCCAGCGTTAGTGGTGTAGCGGTTAGCATTGTTGCCTTCCAAGCAATAGATCGGGGTTCGACTCCCCGCTGACGCATTTCTTTTTTCCATGATTTTTATTTTCCTTTTTTCACTATCGAGTGAAAGATAAGCACATCAGCGACTAGTGATCGGTTGATCGGTTGATTGTTGACCGTCCAGAAGCACGTTGTGGCCATATACCAATTCTGCTAGACTTGCGAACACTTTGGAAATCACCTCGTTTCTCTCCCATATCCCCACTGAAGATATATCTACCTACTTATAGCTCACTCCGTCTTCCTGGTCCAAGCAATGACTAATAACAAGTAAAACTGACCGCTGACGATTGATGTGTCGATTGAGGTGGTCATCTACGCAGAAGGTCAACAAGCCCTTAGTGATTATACCGAAACTGAACATCCTGGATATCCGTCAGATCGTCCCCAGGGTGAAAGGTGATTTGCGACGAGTGAGCCCTCATCTCGTCTCTTCTGCGATTTTCCGATCGGCAGAGATACCAGTACACCCCCAACGCCACGATGAGCAGACACCAAGTGACAATGTCGGTCACGATCCCCTCGAAGAACCTCGGCGCAGCATCGGACTTCCAGAGCTGCGGGGCAGCGATACAACCAGTGCAGTAGCCAATGAAGAATAAGGCATTGACCATGGGACGTTTGGTGTTTCCCTTGACGTTCGAGGCACTAAGACTCAGCACGAGAGCCAGGATGTTGGGGAGACACGAAGCCTGGAGTCCGTCAGCGTTGTCCCTCCATTTCGTATGGTTGGCGACAGAGAGCGTACCAGCCAGGAGGCAACTATGAGAGCCCATCCAGCAGACAGCGGAAGCTTGAGAAGGAGGATGTTTCCGACCAAGGGGGGAATGGTCATCACCATCACCACCAAGCATCGGTTCTGAGGAAGGAGGTAGCATCCAGCCAGACTGATCCAGATCGCCAGCATCTGCACCGCGCCGGAGGGTGCCGTGTAGAGCATCGTCTGCAGACTACTGTAATTCAAGTTCTTGATGATGAGAGAGGCAAACTAGATCGGTCAGTAACGGTGGGATGATACATAGCTGCGAACCCAGAGACCCTACCGTAAGCACCGGGGCTTGCATCGTGACCAATACCCCAAAGATAAACATAAACCACGACCGGAGGTCCCTCACCGTCTCCTTGACTTGTGCAAGGGAAAAGTGCGTCAGGTCGCCAGCGTCCCGGTCGAGGGCCATGCGGGCTTCGAGGACCTCGATTTCCCGCGGGGTGAGAAACCAGGCTTTCTGGGGCGAAGAAGGCACAACGAGGATGAAGATGACGCCGCAAAGACATGACAAGGCCCCGCAGATGAGGAAAAATGTCCGCCAGGGGGCCAGCGCTCCAGGGGAAGTTCGTCCGATGGCGTACATGAGCAGACAGCCGATCGTCTGAGCCAGTCCATCCATCGTGATCCAGACTCTAGGACAAGATATCAACGACACAATCCGGCCACGGACTTCTGGAATGAGGTCTTACCCGACGCGCACAGCATGCTCTCTCTTCCGATACCAGACACTGGTTAGGGTGACGAACGCTGGGGCGACCGCGCCCTCACTCACGCCCAGCAGAAACCGGACGGCGGCGAAGCTGGTGAAGGTCTGGCAGGCTGCCAGACACATGCACACTCCTCCCCAGATGATACTGGGTGCAAGTGTTAGTGGGTTGGCAGGAAGAGACAGTCTCATAAAAAAACGTACATGGTAATGCCAACGAAACGGGTCAAGGGCAGGCGACTCATGAGATAGATGAAAGGATACTCCGAAATCAGCTGGCCTGGCGGGCTGTCAATAGGATACTCTCCTGATCAATTCATTCGTGGGTCCGGTCATACCAACATAGAAAATGGAGGAGCACCACGAGTATTCCGATCCATGCAGGGAAAGGTCCTCAATGAGGCCGAATACAGAGGCATAACTCAGGCCTTGCTTGTCGAGGTCTGTAGTGGCGATGGATGAGTGGGAGAGTGCCAGAAGAGAAGCAGCAGTGCATGGGAGGGGAGACTCACACTGGAAGAAGAACACCAGACACAACATGGGCAAGACGAAGCTGTCAATTTTTCTCACCACTTGTTCCTCCTCCTCTGTCGAAAACAAAGGTTGGCTGGTGTCATTGCCGGCTTGTTTCTCTCGCGCTTGCTCGGCCATCCTTCCAACCCGTCAAGAATTGCATCCAGATATTGCTCGAGAATGACGGTTATTCCTCTACGATCAATTCTCAATATGAGTTGATTTAAGGATTTGACCCCTCTGCAGCTCTGGCCAGCTGTCATCGAAGGACGACACGTCCAGTAGGTAGAATTAATGATCATCACCACCGCATGCAAGGGGGAGCATCACCGCCAAGCACTCAATACTTGCTGGATCGACGCGCTCAACGCGTTGAATCAACTAGCTCTGAGAGATGGGATTTACTTGATATCGCATTGGCGCATGAGAGGAACAAAGGAAAGACTTAGTATGTATATATGTATGTATGTATGTACAGTCGAGTCCAGCCTACTGCTGCGTGTGCACCACCACCTCCGTGGTCTTCAAGATGCCTGTCTCCGTGTGATGCAGGCGCTGCTCGTCCTCCGCACGATTGCCGCTGTGCGCGCTGTTCGAGTCTCCGTCCGAGCTGCCCTCGACCGTGATGTTGTACATGGAGTGGTGTGTGCGTCGCGTCATCGACTTCAGCGTGATATCGGCGCTGCGTTGGCCGTAATATCCGGGATAATTGTTGCCATATGCAGTACGGCGTCCACTGGTCAGGCTGCGCGTGCTGTCCAGCAGGGATTTCACCAGGGGTTTGAGACTTGGGAGACATGCTCCCAAGATGGCGACATTCAGTTCGACGCTGTTCTTGCCGTCAGCTGTGATTTCGTACTGTCGCGAGCTCTTCGCCACATACCAGTTCCAGACCATAAAGGTGTCATTTCTGTAGATGGAGTGAGCAATGCATATCCCATTCACAAGCCCTGGACCCGTCACTTACCGATACATATTCGTCTCATGCAACACTTTCACTTGAGCGATGATCTTGATAATGCCAGCGACACAGGCCCTGGTGCACCCGTTTCGTTCAGTTCAGTTCATTTCAATTCAGTTTAGACATCCCAGCAGACTCCGACCTACAGATATCCCAAGCTCAACACTCCGATCAGCGACGCCTTGGTCCGTCGATTGACCTGGATCTTGATGAACATCGGCACCGGTAGCGTGGCGAAGATGATGTCGGTCACGAGGTTGGTGACTAGAATGCGACCGGGGTGAGTGTCTGCAGAGCGCATGTACTATACCTTCAATCAACATGACAGAGGGAAGACATACTGCTGTTCCACAGCCCGATGGCCGTGAAGGTATCCGTGTCAAAGCACCGAGCATTAGCACGCAGACTATAATCCCATGCGGCCGCCACGGGGATACACTCGAGAATCAGGGTCAAGCCGCAGGAGATAGTGAAGGCGACCAAAAACACTATGCCAATGATGATGATGATTAGCATCTTGTCGCGGGCGTAATCGTGGAAAGCCGACCCACCGATGGATCCGATCAACACCTTTCGCAGCATACTCTGCGCAAATCGGCGCAGAAACACCGCCAGGGAGATTTTGACGAGACTGAGTCCCACCATAACGATGATGGAATGGAACCACACCACCTTGGCCAGATACATGACGTCCTCGCCGGAGATGTCCTTCGAGTAGCGGCCGACGCCATGCTGTGTCTCAATCACGAAGCACACCAGCACTCCCACCGCACAGAGCTAAGCCAGAATATATACCGATCAGGACATGTCGATCTCCTCGTCACGAACCCTGCAGATCCCAGCCAGGAGTCCACTTACCCACGCTCCGATGACATTGTACTCCTCCGCATTGAACTTCCGCAGAACCAGTCCGCGCACATAGCACCGTAGCAGGACGATCAGCGTGGACAGGCCCGTCAAAGACCCAACCACCGCCAAGATGGTCGGGGCGTGGGAGGAGACGGCCTCCGTTCGTGGCCCGAGGGGGATGGCCGTCATATCGACGAGAACGAAGTCACTGCACGCAGTGACCGCAAGCCATCAACAACGAGGACGAGGCTGAGTTGATGATACCTGAAGGGAGAACATCTAGGACGAGTGGCCTTTTCTCTTCCTCTCGCAAGCTACCACAGGAAGGAATCACAAGGAGACCGTCAACCGTTGGACGGAGGCGCAGCCAAACTCGACTTCTGCACGATCTGGGCCTGAATTTCCGCTCCTTCTCCGATGCCATCTTCGGATTTAGGCTACGTCTTCGGAAGTCTCGTCCATTCGAGATTACCGGTGGGTGGCCCTCGAGGACGAAGCGAGTTATCTAGTTACTGTAACCTCGGCTGTGCGGACTATGGACTCGAATGGTCTAGAGACCCTCCTCAAATCTCCTGGTTGGCGAGACTAGCCAGGATCATGCAGACACTACTCTCTAGTGTCAGCTTCTCATCTAACTATCTTACTCACGCCATATTCCAGAAGCCCCCGACCCGGGAATTAGGTCGGAGCGTGGCGCTGGCGGGGCAACGTGGCCGGCATTCTGCATGAATCTTCAGCGGTCAGCAGTCGCTCTGCAACCTGTTCGACCAGAACCATTGTTCTCGATGAAATTTAGAGCCCTGCAAGACATGCCCCTCGGGCTTGGAAACAACGAGGCGATCCGGACGATCACGGGTGGGCGGCGACCCTGGGAGGGAAGATCGGACTCACAGGCCAGCAATCGCACATTTCCCTGACTCTTGCACTCCACTGGACTCCATTCCGTTTCTCGCTTCCTGTCCGGCCGAAGTCCAACGGTCAAATCGGGGAAGACGGATGACAGCAGCTAAGCGTGTCGTGCGGCCGACGATGAGGGGCTAAAGACCCACTAATCAGCACTAGTATAGATTAACCCAAATGAATTCTCAATCCTCGACAGTTCGGCGCCATTCCCCATCCCGCCCACAAGGAACAATTGGGTGCGCATTCATTCCAGGGGGTGTCTCTCCTCCGAACTGGGGTGTGAGAGGCAACATTGGCTACTTCAGGCCGTGAACGGCGCAGGGACCCCCCTGTTCACGCTTGGCCACGCCCATCCCGCCCTCGAGATAATTGAGTTGCCCCCATGACAGGTCAGACGTTTAATCTGGGGGAATCCGATCTCACATCCAGGGCTTACTGAGTTTATGTCTTTGCAAAGAATACGCGTTGTCGAGTCGCAAGGGGCAGATAGCAGCCGTTACCCAGGGCACCGGCTGTCTCCGGAAGAACTGACCCTTAGCGGACAAGTACACCCTCCCATCCCCCCCCTCTCCCCACCATCGGTTCGAATTCCGGCTAGAACTATCTATAATGGTATTGATATCATTGGAATTGGGAGGGGGAAGGGGAACCATGCGTATGCTTCTCATGATTAGCCTGCCGACGGTGCAGCGACTAAGAGTTGGGTCGTCTCTTCACTTAGGGCTATTCGCCCGGTTCCGACATCCAGACGACCACATGGGCTGATTAGCTTCGTTTTCCCACGAGGCAGCAGTCTTGTCGTGGTCTCCAGTCTATTCAGGGGGTGAACAGAAACAGGACTATATAGAGGGAAGTGGTGACCGGCTTTTCTTCCACTCTGTCAGTCCGCTCACTGCATTCCCATCCGCTGAGTGCCGCCAATCCGTTATGAAGTTCTCTCGCTTGTCCACCGCGGCTGTGGCTGCTTTGGCTGCTTCGCCAGCTGCAGCCATCCTCGGCACCCCCGATGCCGTGGATAAGCTCGCCAGCAAAGCTCTGGCCACTAAGGTTGCCTATGAGGCCGCTCATGGCGCCAACTCGACCTGCACCATCAAGAATGCGGCCGTTCGTCGCGAGTGGTATGTTGTAGCTTGCCCCCGCGCCGCTCCGCTCAGAGCCGGCCCTTTGCAGCTCACTGATCTGATGTGAAACCTCAGGTCCTCGTTGGCCCCCGCGGATCGGAAGAAGTATACCGATGCGGTTTTGTGTCTGATGAGCCTGCCGCCCAAGTCGGATCCCAGCTTCGCTCCGGGGGCTCGCAACCGCTTCGACGACTTTGTCGCCGTGCACATCAACCAGACCTTGTGGATTCATGGCACGGTATGTCCACCCCTCCTACTCCCTTCCTTGATGCGCCCAGCTAACGGCATCCGGCCATCATGTTAGGGCAACTTCCTCACCTGGCACCGCCTGTTCACCTGGGCCTACGAGACCGCCCTGCGTGACGAGTGTGGCTACGAGGGCTACCAGCCCTACTGGGCCTGGAACAAATATGTCGACAACCCGATCAACTCGCCGCTCTTCGATGGTACCGAGTACAGTATGTCCGGGAATGGAGACTATGTGCCTCACAACGACACCCCCGTCACCGACTACACCACGTTGCCCGCTGGTGTCGGAGGTGGTTGTGTGCGCAGCGGTCCTTTTGCTAAGTACGGCTTGCCTCGTCCCCTTCCCTACTATAGCAGTATACACCACTCTATATACTCTATATCCTCTATATACTCTCCCCATCAGCCCCTAATCAACAATGGCTAACCCGCTCATTCTCCAGCATGACCGTCAACCTCGGACCGGTGGACCCCACCCTACAGATCCCCGGCCTGGTGGCCCAGAACGGCACGGGACTGGACTACAACCCTCGGTGTCTGCGCCGCGACATCTCGCCCGTGGCCGCGCAGGGGTGGACTAAGACCAGCGACGTGATGGATCTGATCCAGAACTGCGACGACATCTCGTGCTTCGAGTGGACCATGCAAGGGTTCTTCGAGGAAGGGTTTTTGGGCGTGCATACCGCCGGCCACTTTACGATTGGCGGTGACCCCGGTGGTGTATGTTCTTTGATTCCCCCCTTTTTCCCTATAATACACTCTTTCAAGTTCACAGCTGACCGAGGAAAAAAGGACCTCTACACATCCCCCGGTGACCCCGCCTTCTACGTCCACCACGGTATGATCGACCGGGTCTTCTGGATCTGGCAGAACCTCAACCCAGCCAACCGCACTTACGTGGTCAAGGGCCCCGACTTCATCGATGGCCTCATCGCTGGCCCCAATACCACCATCCACGATACCCTCTGGATGGGAAATCTCACCGCCTCCCGCGAGATCTATGATATCTTGGATACCACGGCGGGGACGCCTTTGTGTTATATTTATTTGTAAATCGACTGTCGGCTGCCTCCGCGGGACTACTATAGAGAATGGCAGGGGCGTGATTAGAAATGTATAAATTATGTGATTCGTGGTTTTCTTCTTCTTCTGATGTTGAATGTGGGGGTGGCTCTGCCTCAGGCCGTAAAGCACGGGAGGAAAGGTCGAACTACAGTGTCGACAGTGCTCATACTATCAGACTGTAACATATATCATACATCTACTAACCATACAGCTGCTGGATCTCCGCTACAACCGCGTCAGTCACCTCCTTGGTGGTGGCCGTGCCGCCCAGATCGGCGGTCAGCACACCGGCCTCGCACACGTTCTCCACCGCGGTGAGCAGCTTCGCGGCCGCATCCGTCTCCCCGAGCCACTCGAGCATCTCCGCCGCGGTCCAGAAGGTGGCCACCGGGTTGGCGATCCCCTTGCCGGTGATGTCGAAGGCCGAGCCGTGAATGGGCTCGAACATGGAGGGGTTCTGGCGGGTAGGGTCGAGGTTGGAGGTAGGAGCGATGCCGATGGAGCCAGCCAGGGCGGCAGCCAAGTCGGACAGGATATCGGCGTGCTGGGGGGGCGTGGTTAGCTTAAGTGCCCTTTCCCACAGGATCCAAGGCGAGGGGACGCACCAGGTTGGTCGCGACGATCGTGTCGAGGGTCGCGGGCTTGAGGACCATGCGGGTGGTCATGGCGTCGACCAGCATCTTATCGACGGTGACCTCGGGGAAGTCCTGGGCCACCGCCTGGGCGACCTCATCCCAGAGGACCATCCCGTTGCGCTGGGCGTTGCTCTTGGTGACCACCGTCAAGAGCTTGCGGGGCCGCTTCTGGGCCACCTCGAAGGCGAAGCGCATGATGCGCTCGACCCCGACGCGGGAGAAGATGGCAGTCTCGGTGGCCACCTCCCAGGGCTTGCCAGTGTGGGAGCGACCCCCCTGGCCGGCGTACTCACCCTCGCTGTTCTCGCGAATGATGACCCAGTCGAGGTCGCCGGTCGTGCAGTTGCGGAGCGGCGACTGCGTCCCGCGGAAGACCTTGGTGGGACGGACGTTGGCGTATTGCTGGAAAGGCTGGCAGATGGCCAGGCGGAGACCCCAGAGGGAGATGTGGTCGGGCACGTCTATGGCAGATCGGGTGAGGACGTCTGGGAGATGCGGAGGAGTGGTGGAGAGGAGCGGGGGAGCGTACCAGGAGCACCGACGGCACCAAAGAGAATGGCATCGTGCTGCTTGAGAGAGTCGAGACCGCCATCGGGAATGTACTGTCCGGTCTTCTTGTAAGTCTCGGAGCTCCAGTCGTAGTGGGTAAACTCCAGCGTGAAGGTCTTGAGCGTGTCGGCCAGGGCGTGCAAAGCGGTGATCCCGGCTTCGACGACCTCGGGGCCAATGCCATCCGCGGGGATGGAGGCGATGCGGTAGGACTTGGAGTCGGACATGGGGATTGTGTGGATAAGTTCTTCTGGACGAAGTGGATGAGAGAACAGCATGTCGAGTTGAGGACGTCAATCGAGGTTTATATCGTATTTGCAGCCCCGGTCTGTTTGCCCCTCACCGAGGAAGATCATCTCCCCTCGGTCGTCTGGGATGGGATCGGAGAAGCCCCGGACTTGCACTCCTCCGCGCGTTGGAGGAAGACACCTCCGGTGCCATGTGGACGATCGGATTTAGTGGTTCTTTCGTGGATGACGATCAGAATCCAGACAACCTATGCGCTTGACGACAGAATCATGGAATGAGGACTGGCAACTGAGAGGAAAGAGTAGCATGGCGCTGACCGTGGGGTGGTGTTTGTTGGTGAAGGAAAGACGATTTACCCCCATGGCGGATGAAGAGAAGAGAAGAGGAGGGAGGGAGTTTGTCAAAGGATGCAAACATCTACTGTTTCTCTACCTACTCTACAATTACGGGCATGACGGTCGGGGACTGGATAGTAGTAATATTGTCACTAGGAGGCAAAGAGTCGCTAAAACCATGATTTGAGCCTCAGGAAGATCACCCTCTGGGATAGTGTTGATTGTGAGCTCAACTCAGTGAGCAACGAAAACAAAGAAAACAAAAAAGACAATCCCCCGAACCAGAATCGAACTGGTGACTTTTCGGTTACAATTTCCATTACAGCCGAACGCCATGAACCAACTAGACCATCGGGGGTTGTTGTTGCATTGTAGTGTATCTACACAACATATATAGGTCCATGCACTATTAAAAGTATAACGAAGGATTTCGCTGGGCCACTTCCGTTGCTCGATCCGACCTCTGCTGTTGAGACGATTCTGACTCCGCTGTCCCAGAGGTCCTCCTGCTCGGAAGGTTGGGGGCGGCGACCATCCGCGGCCTTTCAGATCTGGTGGGCGGCGGCGGTGCTTCGATCCTCGGCGACGACCCGATCATCGTCCGCGTCACCCGGAACTGGTCTCGCTGTGCCTCCCACCAGCGTTCGCGCTCCGCCCAGTCGCGCAACGGCGACCGCGACCATTCCTGCATCCGCGCACTTTTGGACCGCAGGTCGGGGGACGTGCGAGTGGCCCGGATCATTGGTCTATCGTGGGAGGCATTGAGCTCGCGCATTATTGTCAGCGCTTCAAACAAGGCTTGCTCGGTATCAGCCAGTCGCTTCTCGATCTGATTGAGATATCCGAGGGGCAGCCCTCTGAGTCCGATCAGCAATTGCGGACTTGCTCGCAAATGTCTTGTCTCACCTTTTGCCGCTTTCGGGATAGATACATTTGGATGGCTCGGAAGAACATGGTGAGCAGATCGGACTGTATGCTGGTCAGCTAGTGTGTCTTAGATGGGGGACAGCACAGATATGGGTCAATCCGTACAGGGTGCGATCGCACTAGCACACGTTGGAATCAGAAACTGTACGAATGGTCGATCCTCTGGTCTCGGGTGAGATTTCTACTCACTTTGCATTTCTTCTGCCTGCATGGTTCGCAAGCGATTGGGCTGAGTGATTGTTCAGTGTCTAGATTCATCAGCTTGCGTACAGTATACTAGTATTTACTAATACTAGCGAGTATGCGGAAAATATATTTCTGAGCGACGGACCTGACGGCATTTCGGATCATCCCTCGATTAGGGGCAACAAAGTGACTGAGACACCCGGAGCGTTACTCAAGATTCATCCATTCAACACCCATAGAAACATATTTGATCTCATGGTCTACTATCGTCTCTTTACAATCATCCCCTGCGGTTGCAACGCGGTCCGGGGAAAGAAACCTCCGGCGGGGTTTTCGTCTCCGCCGCTGTGGCAGCGCAGGAACGCCTGCTGCGTCGTTTCTGCCTGGCTGTGGTTGCCTGATTGTGAACCCTTATGAACCCATATGCATTGTGTACAGTAGGTCAGCTATGCATCATTTCCCGGAAAGTAAAGTATTATTTGTAGATATCCAGAAGAGGAAATATACAAGGTATTCGTTCGATGGCCTCACCATCAAACCCTGGCTAATACTCATCACTTAACTCTGTGGCCTCCCCCAATGCACGCAGTTCCACTCAAGGACTTTACTTGACTCTGTTTCAGCTGGGACGACTAGGACGAGATCCTCGAGTGTCTAGAAATCAAGCCCGAGGACCACCCAACAGGCAGTGCCTGGACTCTGTAATGTAAACCCTGACTATTGTTTTCGAGACAGTCACAGTCACACTCGGATACTTCAAGATCTACCTTAGTAGGCTACGATGATTCCAGTAAAACTGTATCCTACTGTACTGTCGCCTCCACTCACCATCAAAGTAAGCATAGCATAACCAAGCAGTGCAAAAATACACACCCTATAATCACAACCGGTCAAATTCGCCACCTCACTTCTATACAACTTCCCAAATCTCGCTCAACAAAACCCTCCCCCCCCCAAACCCACTTCCCTACAACCGACTAGGCACCAAATTCGAAACGCCCTTTCTCACCTCGTAAAGATCGCGATGATCCGCCTTTATCAGATCGGCGCCCTACAAATCATTAACATCATCCAACCTATGCACAATTCAGATATGTTGTACACCCACCTTCTCGCCAATCATATACACGGAATTCTGAATGCGACAATCCGGAATGACGGGAATGACCGAGGCATCGGCGACGCGCAGGTTACGGATCCCGTGGACGCGCAGCCGGGCATCCACGACCCCCTGCTGGATGCTCTTTGACAGGCGGGCGGTGCCGCAGGGGTCTGTCCAGTCAGTCCGTCAGTCAGTCAGGCAAACACACTGCAACAAAACTGGAAAAAAACCAAGGAAAACGTACGGAAACCAGTCTGACTCCGTTCCAACACGGCGCGATCCATCGCCTCATCCGAATGCAACGGCATCTCCCAGGGATACTCGGCAAGCACCAAATCCTTAAACCCATCTCCGTTCATGAGCATATCGTACGTCCACCGCACGCCCTCGCGCATGGCAACAATATCGAGATCATTTCCAAAGAAATTCAGGTTGATGTTGGGCTGGACGAGCGGGTCGGTCGAGTTGAGCGTGACCTCGCCGCCCTCGCTGACGGGACGCAGCAGGTCCACAATCACCGTCATGTAGCTTCCTTCCCGAGGGACGGGGTAGTGCCACTGGAAGGCGGAGCTGAACATGCCGACGAAGTCGAGCTCGAAGTGCGGTTGGCCGGCGGGACCAAACGGGTCTCGGCCCCCGTTGGCGGCTTTGGCCTTGCGGTAGGCCGGGGATTGGTGGAGGCGGGCGTCGATGCGCGGGAAGCCGACCAGCTCCAGCAGCCCAGAGCTGACGGGGCCGGTGCGGTTGCGGCGGTAGGCGGAGACGGCGGCGTCGTGGGCGGGACCGGACCGCAGGAGGTGGTCGTCGAGGGTAAGGCCGTCCTTGAGACGCAACACAAAGGGGACGATGGGGTGGTCGAGGAGGTGTTGACCGACGTGCGGGGAGTCGACAATGAGGTCGATGTGGTGCTTGCTGAGCTCGGAGCGCGGGCCGACGCCGCTGAGCATCAGGAGCTTCGGGGTCTCGAACACTCCTTGCGAGAGGATGACCTCGCGGGTGGCATGGAGGCGGAGGGTGGAGTGGGTGGCAGGGAGGAGGACCTCGACGCCCGAGCAGACGCGCGTGGCCGGGTCGATGAGGAGGCGTTTGGAGTGCGCACCGGAGAGGACGGTGACGTTGGGGCGATTGAAGAGGTAGACGTAGCTGCCCTGGCGCTCACCCTTGTAAATGGAGTCGACACAGTGGGTCAGTCCGTGCATGTGGCCCGAGTAGATGTCCTCAGTGAGGGGTTCGCCCTTGGACACCCAGGCCTGGGCCAGGGCGTCGCGGAAGGTGTGCAGCTCCGGCACTAATTCGGCGTGGGAGATTTGCACGGGCCCACCGTGACCGATTTGCTGCAGCTCGCGCGGGTACAGCCCTTCGTCATCGTGGTAGGTGGCGCATTTGCGTAGATACTCGACGCAGCCCTGCCAGGTCCAGTCGCGGCCGCCATACGGCTCCCAATCATCAAAGGTGGCCGCCGAGCCGGGGATCCAGGTGAAGTAGTTGGCAGTCGAGCTGCCGCCCAGCGCCTTGCCGCGCGTGTTGGGCTTCTCCACGCGCTCGTAGTCGTCGCGCTTGATCATGGTGGTCTTGTACGCCCAGTCGTACTGGCTGCCGCGCAGCCCGAACGCCTTGGACGGGGTCGTGATATCCTCGATCTCGTGCGAGTTGGCCACGCCGGCCTCGATGACGAGGACTTTGACGTTGGGGTTTTCGGCCAGTCGACCAGCGATGCAGTTGCCTGCAGTGCCGCCGCCGACAACGATGAAGTCAAAGTGGGAGTCGTTGGCCACTGACATGGTGAATAGAAGAAAGTGACTTCAATGAGAACAAAAGCTTTTAAGAAGTGATGAATGTGCTGCTGCTGCTGCTGCTGCTGATAACAATCAAGCGTGCCATCACGGCCTTATATAGTGTGTCCTTCACATATCGAACACAATGAACAGCAGCAACAGTAAAGGATGCCTCGTAGTTTGCAGTGCAATCCGAGTTTGGGCCGCCGAGCAGCCGGAGGATCCGGGTGAGCCGTATTGCCGGAAGAGGGACAGGGGGTGGTGGACGTATGAGGGGAAGGCGAGGGAAGATGAGGCTTTTTTGTATGCGGGCAGAGCGGTTAGAGAGCAGCAAAGCTGGTGTTGGTGATTGAGGCCGCTTCGTGTCCGGGATAATTTCGGCGAGACCGGCAGAATCCGGGCTCTTTCGGAAAGAGTCACGTGAAAGCCTGTGTAAGCAAGCGAGGTGCCGAATTTCCCCCGTGCAGCCAATGAACACTCGATGATTGTGCTGACGGGGCATCCCCTCACGAGGGGCAGGCCCATTGAGGGGAAAGCCCTAGAGAAGCTCGAAATTCCCTGCTTTTCCCCCTCACGGACCCCCAAAGAATCACTGCTAAAGCGTCAAATTCGACACTAAGTGAAACCGTCTCTCCCAGAAAAATTCTATCCGAGCTAAAGGTTTCACCGCTGCGTAGCGCCACGTTGGCTTTTCCTATCTCCCTCCCTCGTAGACGAAAGATAAGCCTAGTCTCTCTTTCGTATAAGACTCCCACAATTGCGATCGTCCGCCGCAATCCATAATTCTCCCCCCTAAACTCAATCTTTCACCCACATTACACGTCATGTCGAAGCCTACTTTCACCCTCGCCGAGGGTATGTTCGGACCCCTCCAATTCCATGGACAGCTTCTAATGGATTGACTCAGGCCAGCCTGTCCCGGACCCTTCGCTCAGCACCACCCTGCCCACCTTCGGCGGTGGTGGTCTGACCACTTTGGGAGACACCCTGCTAATCGAGACCTTGACGCATTTCAACCGAGAGAGAATTCCGGAGAGGTATGTTGCTGCCCCGACGATCATGATCGGCCTGGCTTGCATGGCCTGACTGACCCGCGCAGAGTCGTCCACGCCAAGGGCTCCGGCGCCTGGGGTGAATTCCGCGTCACCAAGGACATCTCGCACCTCACCAAGGCCAAGTTTCTGACGGGGGTGGGCAAGAAGACGAAGGTGCTGTTCCGCCACAGCACCACGGGTGGTGGTCTGGGCAGCGCCGACACCGCGCTGGATATCCACGGATTCGCCGTCAAGTTCTTCACCGAGGAGGGTAACCATGACATTGTTGGCAACCACGCGGTATGTGTTGTCGGAAACTCGCAGCGTCGACTACCTCTGACCATGATCCAATAGCCCGTCTTCTGGGTGCGCGACCCTATCCGCTTCCCTTCCGTCAACCGCAGCCACAAGAAGCACCCTGCTACCAACCGTGCGGACCCGAACATGGTAAGCCCACTTGGACCCCACCAGTCGAGCGCCTACTTAATTTATTCCACCTAGTTCTGGGACTTTCACGTCAACCAGCCCGAGAGCGTGCACGCGCTGATGCACCTGTTCGGCTCGCGCGGCCACCCCGAGTCGGCGCGCAAGATGACCGGGTTCGGCATCCACACCTTCAAGCTGGTGGCCGAGGACGGCAGCTTCCGGTACTGCAAGTTCCACTTCAAGCCGGTGCAGGGGATCAGCAACATCAGCTCGGACATGGCGACGCGGCTGGCGGGCACGAACCCGGACTCGTACAACCAGGATCTGTGGGAGGCGATTGCGCGCGGCGAGTACCCGGTGTGGAAGCTGTACGTGCAGGTGATGGAGCCAGAGCGGGCGGAGAGCTTCGGACGGGCCCTGTTCGACATCACCAAGGTGTGGCCGCACAAGGAGTTCCCATTGATTGAGGTGGGCGAGATGACTCTGAACAAGAACGTGAGTGTCCTGTGTCTCATCAATCCAGCTTCTGCTTCTTCTTGAGCTAATTCGTGTGCAGCCTGAGAACTTCTTCGTCGAGATTGAGCAGGCCGCTTTCTCTCCCTCTAACATGGTGCCCGGTGTGGCCGCGACGCCTGACCCGAGTAAGTTCTTGCCCCCGCCTGGAAAGCAGTGACGACAATCTAACCCAGTGTGTGTGTGTGTGCGTAGTGCTCCAAGCCCGCATGTTCGCCTACCCCGACGCGCAACGCTACCGCCTCGGCGTCAACTATCCCCACCTCCCGCCCAACAAGCCCGTGTGCCCCGTGTACGCGCCCTACCTGCGCGACGGCGCGCACACGGCGACCCCCAACTACGGCGGCGACCCGAACTACGTGCGCAGCACATTGACACCCGGGGTGACCAGCGCGTCGGCGAAGGAGGTGCGACACCACGAGTTCCTGCGCCTGGGCGGGGTGCTGGGGCTGAACGAGATCCCGGTGGACGACGAGGACTTTGTGCAGCCGCGGGCGCTGTGGCACAAGGTGTTCGACGAGCAGGAGCGGCGGTTGTTCGTGACAAATCTGTGCAACTCGCTGGAGGGAGTGGTACCGGAGCTGCAGCAGGCGACGGTGGCGATGTTCAGCCGGGTGGATGCGCGGATTGGGCAGATGATGGAGGCGAATCTCAAAGGGGGGGCGCGCTTGTAATGCCGTGCTAGGTTGTTGGGGGTGTTGTTGTTCCAGCGTGCCACCGCACAGGATGTGGTCTGTTGACTTGTGCCATAGATTAGATGGACATAGACATACACCTAGACATAGACATAGATTCAAGAGAGATGTTTTGATTGACAATGCGGGTGTCTGTGTTTGATTGTTGGTGGGGATGAAGTTGGAAGATGGGAGGGAAGATGAAGCTGCCAGATGCCAGAGAGAGATAAGGCTCACCGCCTTGTTATCGAGACTATCACGTGATCAACACAGTCACCGCTGCTTCTAATCACAGCCTCAGGCAGCCATGCAGCGTCTCTCGCTATAGACAATGCATGATAGCAATTCCTCCTCGACAGAGAAAACACCAGCAACCTGGCAGAGCGATTGAAAGAACGAGATAGAGTTCTCACTCGAACCAAAATTTCCGATTTGAAGCATTCAACCCCTCCTTTCCAACCAATGATGAAGTCATTCAAGCACTGACGTCATCCAACTTCTCGCCTCGCATAAAACGACCTGGAAGCCAGTCCCATCTTCAATTCTCTCCACCTCACCATCTCCAACCAATTGACCACTACCATAACAACAACATCAAACATGCTCGACTCCATCCCCGTCACTCGCAGCCGTCGCAGCGACGATCTCACCCGGTTAGCCGAGCAACACCTACAGCACGACCTCCAGCCCTCCGACCGCGACGCCTTGCAATCCGCCGCCCGCACCGTCTCCCTATGGACCACCGTGGGCTCCGCTCTGGGCATCGGACTGGGCTTGTATACCGCCTTTAGGCTACGCAGCTCGCGCCGGGCCTTCTTTGAGGTCTTTCGTGCGCAGGAGAAGCCCACGAAGGTGGTATTCGCCGATGGACGGACAGGTGACCCTCTCTGTAGCACAAGTCAACCACTCAAACCATGGATGCTAACAGTGCCATGATCCTAGAATCCATCCCGGATGTCACTCCGCTGCTGAAACCCACCACCTTTGGCGACTTCGCAACCTACTTCTTCGCCTCGGCGGGAGGATTGTTTTTGGGGGGAGAATTAGGTATGCGCCACGGAAGACTGCCACTATCCATGAGGGGAGTGTACTGACGAGACGTATCTAGGCTTGCTCGGGGGCGCGTCGATGGGCAGTCGCAGCATCACCAAGGAGCCGGAGCGGCGGCGGCGTATCGAGAATGCCTTCCGGCGGTTCCGGGCGGATGTGCTGCGGCGCGAGGCGGATGAGTTGGACGGGGATCGGAATATCATTGAAAAGATGTTTTGATTGATTGCCGGCGCAGGGGAAGGGGTTGTGGGTTCTGCAGGGAGGATTGAGTAGCTGTGATATGTATACGATACCTGTGATATACGAATACCCCGTGCGATAACAGAATGTCATGCATGAATTTCCCGATCAATTATGCAGCCAGAGAGCGAGCCCTGCTGTAGGAACCCTCCTGAGAGATGCAATATGTACTTACACCCAACCCAGGCCAAACCCCAGGCCAACCCCAGGCCAAACCCCAGGCCAAACAAACAACGCCAGACTCCCCCCATAGTAAGGTAGTATGCATAAGTTAATCAACACCATCCAACCCACCGCCACCAAACCCGACACTCCGCGGTCTTCCACGTCCCAGCAAAATAATGCTTGACCAAGACCTCTGGCGAACTATGATCCTCGCCCTGCGTGATCGCGAACCCGCGTTTCGGCAGGACGACCACGTCTTTAATGCGGATTGTATGCTGCAGATTGCGGAGGGTGTGCAACATCCCCTCGTCGACATCGAGATACTCCAGCACCGCCTCCGTCCACACTCCGGGGCCCGTCCAGGCCATGATATCCGGCGCGACCGCTGCGGGGTTGTGTGCAGCCTGACGGGTGTATTCTTCGGTGGTTTCGACGATGCGGCGCAAGACCCCGGCGAAGATGGGATGGCCTGGCGCGGCGACCATCGTCCATTGCACGAACTGCGGGGGCCGTGGGAGACCTGGGGTCGAGGTGTCGCCTTCGAGGCCAATGATGACGGCGGGGGGCGATGCCATCTCCATCTCCATCTCCATTTCCTTCGCCCTAGGTGGTCCATCAGATAACCCCCTCGATCCTCCCTCCTCCTCCTCCTCCACCTCCTCTCCAAATCCTGGTGAGTGGAACATCACCTCCCACGGCAATTCCCTCACCAACCGCACATCCAAATCATTGTACACCCCGCCGCGCACCAAAAGAATCAAATACCGACAAAAGTCCGACACCAGCACCGCCGACGGCAAACCCCGCAAGACCGCCGCATACCGTCCCTCCGCGTCCACCTCGCGCGCCAGCTGCACGCACGCCTCCTCCGACCAGTACTCGACTTTCCAGCCGGAGTGCAGCCACGAGAGGGTGTGGGCGGTGGGATGGAAGCTGGTGACGGGGTGGTTGGGCATGGCGAGGAGGAGATGGTGGATGGTTCGTGGGATGATCATGTCCCTTTCTTCATGCTCGAGTTTCTGGGCTGATTCTGGTTCTGGTTCTGGTTCTGGTGGGAGGTGGAGGTGGTGGGCGAGTTTCTGTTCGAATGCTGGTCTTTGTTCGACTTGTTGTGTGGTGGTCCTCCCCGAATGAAACAAGGCAACAAATACACATACCGCCAACACCGCCTGGAGAAGCTGCAGCGGACGGAGTGGCAGTGGCATTTTGCCCCTTTCTCTGCTCACTGCAATCAGCGATAGTTATGCCGGAGGATTTAATCACATTCGCCTCACCTCCAACTACGCAAGTCAACTACGCAAGTCAAGGAACGGCGACAGCGCAGTGCATTTTAACACCCCTGCAACAAACGAACAAAGAAATGCAGCGCAGCGCATAACCTCATCTTTATGGTCAAAACCACTCGGGGTCCTGCTCCACATTTCACGCAGCCAAGTAGCCAAGTCTGGGCACTGCAGTTAGTGTTAGTTCACAGTCTGATTCTTCACTGGAAGGATCCCCGTCCCCAACCCAGCTCACTCATGACGTTACTTATGCAATTCATTCACTGGATCCATTGAAAGAAGGCTCATCATCCCAATCACTGTCAAGTCATCAACAGAGAATCGAGTCACGGAGGCGAGGAGTTCGTTGGGCGCCCGCTTGGCGTGGCTGTAGTGGAGGATGATTTGTTGAGGCCCTAATAAGTGGGGCAGGGGTTCAGGCAGAAAGATTTTGAGGCCAAAGAGAGAGATTCAGGTACAGAGGCTCTCGAAATTGCCTTGACCAACAAACACAGCATCAATGTCTTCAGACCCACTGCCAAGATATAAGCGCGGGTAGATTATTGGACGGGAAGCTGTAACTGAAGGTCTGTTGTTGTACACTATAGGGGCTAAGGTGATGAGATAGCATGATGAACGAATAGCTCTTGCGAGGCAAGCTGCCAATCTATTGCCTTAAGGTGTTGTTGCTGATCTGCCTAATCCGCGAGTCACCCACCCCCTAAATGGGAGGTCGCGGTCTGCTCGCTTAGCTATCACGTGACTGAGGCCTGAGGCCCACTATATAGATTTCCATCCGCAACTATACACGAAGGTTGGAAGGGTTGGTTTAGCCCTTACACTTACGCAGTTTGATACACCTAGAATATTAACTGTAAGCTTACACATATTTTATGCCGTGATCTATCTATATAAGTCATAACAAGATAATAAAGAGATCAGAAGTGAGTAGCAGACCAAATTTGATAGAAGGTCGAATATCTATGGAAGGATCCTATACCTGAAAAGAACGGTTACTGATGATCGGAGCTCAATATAAGCACTCGTCCTGAATGACAACCAACACAAATGGCCGATTCTGTTATAGCGGTGGCTGTCACTTTGAATATCGATGGCAACTTTAACAGATTGACTGAGTTCCATGTAATGCAGGTACGATCGGAACTTATTCCGAATCCCTGAGAATGCAGTCCTTCAGGACTTGTTTGGGAGAAACTCGAGTCGGTAAGGAAAGACGAGGTTAAGATACCCATGCTAGTTTCAAGACTTGATTTGATAATATCAAGCTTTATGACCGAGTCACCGTGACCCTCGAAGGTCTGCAGGCAGGCGCCGCTGCCAGCATTCCAGAGCTTGACGGTTTGGTCGTCGGAAGCAGAGACCAACAGCTTAGAGTCATGCGAAAAGACTACAGTGTAGACCGATTTATTATGACCCTTCAGTGTCCGCAAGCAGGCGCCGCTGCCGGTGCCGCAGCCGGTGTCCCACAGCTTAACGGTCCCGTCCTCGGAAGCAGATGCCAGCAGCTTAGAGTCATGCGAGAAGACCACAGACCGGACCCAGTCTTTATGACCCTCGAGCGTCTGCAGGCAGGCGCCGCTCCCAGCATCCCACAGCTTAATAGTCCGGTCGTCAGACGCAGAGGCTAGCAGCTTGGAGTTATGCGAGAAAACTACAGATCCAATCCAGTCTTTATGACCTTTAAGTGTCTGTAGGCAGGCACCGCTGCCAGCATCCCACAGCTTGATGGTCTCGTCGCGGGACGCAGAGGCTAGTAGCTTATAGTCATGCGAGAAGACTATAGACCGGACTGACTTATTATGACCCTCAAGCGTCTGCAGGCAGGCGCTGCTGCTGCTGGCGTCCCACAGCTTGACGGTCTTATCGCTAGACGCAGAGGCCAGCAGTTTAGAGTTATGCGAGAAGACCACAGACCGGACCCAGTGATTATGACCC